CCCACAAAAATTTGACGCTATACGGTATTAACATAAATAACACTATACTGGTATAACATTTTAGGGTGTAAAATTTATAAGCTGATTTAAGTTTGTATTTTTCATGTATGCACATTCATTAGGTACATGTGCTGTGTATCCTCTAAAAGGTATTGTTTCCACAGGTAAGAAGCTACCAATAAAATCTATGTAATTAAATACCCCACAACTTATGCCCATATGACTCAAAACAAGTCAACAACAATAATACAATAAGAACAAACAATAACAATATATTACCAACAAAACATTAAATACTTTGTGTTTCTGGTTGTTGGTTTAGTATCAATAAATCATCCAGAGCCACTCCTCCATTAATATGAACAGGTGACGGACTCTCTTTAACCAGTCCCCAGGCAGGCAGTACTAGTGACAGTCTTCCTCCTTTACTCAATAAACCAAATGAGACAGGACAGGATGACCTTACTAATCCTAATGTATCCTCACACTCTCTAAATAACAATGAAAACAAAAACAACATAATTAATAATAAATAATATAAAATTATAATAACAAAATGAAAAACAAGACAAATTTACAAAATTAAACAATACTTACACAAAAGTACATATGTACATGTACATGTACGCATCATTTAAAAATTTCACGATCATTTTATATCAAATGACGTATAAATAGAGATGATAACATATAAATATGTACATTCGTGGAGTATTAATATTGGTTGCAGTGAACATCCACTTATATAAAATCTGTCATTTTGTTTTATTCTGAGCTGCTCAATGGGATTTAGTTGCTAAATCACCAAATGACACCAATACATGTATACATGTACATATGTAAAATCCACCAATTGCAAATTGCCAAATTCAACTACTGCCAATACTTAAGTTCCAACAGTAAGAAAGACAGATGATACATGTATGGCCCCAGTAACAATGCCCAATGCCAACAATACAACCAGTGGCGGTTCTAGGATTGAATTTCTGGGGGGGCCTTAATGATATGGGTGGAATAATTAGTGGGTGCGGTCAACCAGGCTTGCAGGATTTCATTTGGAAAGTCAAAATTTAGAAGATTAGGCCTCTTAAATGAGCTCCTTTGTGGTTTACAGACTGTTTACACAGTCAAGCACTGCAGCTGTTTCACAGTTTACATAGATAAAACTAATTTTATACTTCACCGCAAAAATTTTGGGGGGGCCATGGTCCCCCCAGGCCCCCCCTAGATCCACCACTGAATACAACAATACATCATCATCATTATTCATAATATCATTCTTCAAAATATTGATCAATAGTACCAATCTAATACTAACTTGTCCAGTGAGTTGTCAAGGTTCCATGCATGAAGGCATGATACTAGGAGTCTAGGTGAGCTGATGGTTAGAGGGAGAAAGAGAGAGAGAGGAGGGAAACAAAGTAATTTGTGCATATACATGTACATGTACACTTCATTTAAAACTTGATATTTGCATGTACATGTGTAACTGTCAAAAAATGTAAATGATATTATTGAAGCAAAAAAGTAACCAATGAAGGCAACATGAAAACCACAAATAATTTAGAATACTTTTCAGCACATTAGTAACTTATACATGTACATGCACTTGTAAGTAGTCAATATATGAAAATGTACATACACATGTATTTCAGTGACAATAATTACATGTACATGCATATTAATTTCTATACACTTAATGGGCACTACATGTTGGTATTACATGTACTACAAATACATGTACATGTACATGTATTAGCAATTGAATGCTTTGGTGTGAGAGAGAAAGAGAGAGAAAGAGTGAGGGGTAGGGCAAAGCTTACATTAATATGAGGAGGACATGCTACAATGCTACTGACCACCCACCATGAACTGCAATAGTGTGGAACAATATTCCTTTGTAGAGGTCCCACAATCTAACAGAGAAATTAGTACCACCAGATAACAAGTGATTGGTATCATAAGCAGTGCTATAGTCACAGGATACAACAGGAGGGGACTCTCCTCTTGTGACCTCTTAAGAAATAATACTGAGACCATGCTATAGAGGAGAGAGAGAGAGGGAGAGAGAAGACAGAAACACAGAGAAAAAAACAGAGGTGATATGTACATGTACACGTACAACTGTACATAAGTAGGCTACAGGCATGATAAACACTTGGTATTACTATTTCTACATAAAAATATCCTATTCATATTGCATGTAATTACAATGTACATGTACATGTATGAATGCATGTACATACATGGACATGTATACAATTATTGTACATTTGTATGCAG